TAAGCCAAAATATTTTCCCAGCAGTTCGGGGGGCCACTCTACCATGGGCAGATCTCCCTGGCTCTCAGACCTTGAACCTGCCTCTGTTTCTTCATTGATCAGCAAAAGAGGCTGAGACTGTGCATGTATCAAAGTGCACTTCCCGGTATTAAACGTACTAAACCCAGAAACCCAGCCAAAAGCAGTCGACAAAGCAAGGCAGCACTGTGCCATTGCTTGGATGGGGGAGCTCTCGGCTCTCTCCACAGGCTATCTGTCCCTGCCTCCCACCATGCCTAAGCCAGGCTTCCCACCCAGCATGGAATGTTTCTGCTCTCATCACACTGACCTCCCTCCAAATGCTTCTCCCCAGAGCCAGCCCTCTCGCAGGAGGCCTCCACCCCAGGCAAGTGTCATGAGTAACGAGTGGAGTCCAGTCCCCATGGACACACAGCGGCCATGGACCACGTGCCACCACCAATAATTTAAAAGGTCAGCTCATGTTTCCCATTGGCTTGGCTCCTGCAGCCCCTTCCCACTCACCACGTACCATTTGCACCACGGGCAGTGCACTGGCCTGGATTAACGCCTTGCAGGCTCCCACAGGAATCCAGTTTGCAACTTCTAATTTAATAAAACCCAACCAGCAATTAGGCATTTGCTGCTGTGATGACTACGAGCTTCAAGCAGCTGCATGGTTATTGAGTCTCCCAAATTACATAACAGTTATGTATGCTTACATTAAAATTACCTTGCAACCTCTAGATTGCCTGGCAACACTTTTCCTTCAGCATGCACAAACGGTGCACTTTTCCTCTGTAATTACATAGTAATTGCCACACATTTACCCAGCAGTTCTGAGAGAACACCATTTTTAACTTTCATTCGCTAATAAAATAAGTGGTTACTCAAAAGCCCAAAATAAAGCATCCTATTGTTCCTGTTGTTGGGAGTGTTTGGGCATCCTATAATTTATTGCCCTGTTTCACTCCCTCTGCCTAAGACTACCCACACTTTTTTTTTTTTTTACTATCTTCTGAACTTAAAGTTTCCTCTGAGCGGGAACTGTTACACCAGCAGCATCCAGCACAGCAGAGCTTGGATCTCCCAGCTGAGGCATACAGGTTCTGCTATAATATGAATGTTAATGAGAATATAAAAAGCTGCAGTCTTTGCCCTTCAAACTCTACTGAAAAAGAGTCTTGTGCTTCCCCATTCATATTACAAATTTCCACTGACTTCCTGGGGTGACCTGACTGATTTTGGCAGAACCTGGAAGCTTCTGGACTGTCACAGACTCACAAACATTGATTTCATTCCCACCCACTGGTTTTAGACAAAAAATGAGGTGGTGTTGCATTTCAATGTGGAGATGGACCAAAGCACTGCAAACCACCTTCCTCTGCCTTGGCAAGGTCCACCGTGCTCAGAGACTTGTTCTCTACAGGTTTTTGAAACCAATTAAGTCTTCAACAAAACCAAGGGGCTTGCTCTGGCTGTGACGAGCTTGCTGAGCTTGCAGGGGCCACTGGAGATTGGTGAAATGAAGGCAGACGTGGCTCAAAGCACTACGGCAGCATGAAACGTTCCTTTTGAATTTGACACAGCTACATGTTGGCTTTTTGAAAGCACATCTGAAACAATTCCCTTTGGTTTGTGAAAGAAGCAGGTATTTCTTTCCAAAGGTTGAAACAGCTGGAAGAAATCTCACCTTGGACTAAACAGGGAGGGTAACACGGCTCTGTCTCACACACGTCTGACCTTTCACGCATTGCACGCTGCTCATTGACTGGGGATAACGATCACTTGCTCAAGCATCCTTGTCCCTCCCTCTGCTGGCTGCCCTGCCTTCAGATTTGCTACCAAAACCATGTGTTTGCACTGCCAAAGTAAGCCAGGTTTATGAAAGGTTGCCATGCCTGAGAGAGACCAAGCTAACCTACATCAGTCTCTCAGAACCTAGCACAGCAGAGCTACCTCTGCTGTCAGGTCAGCACAGTGATAACCTCAAGGGTGGTGTGGACACACTGCTGGCTGGAAGAGGAGCCAAGCCAAAGGCCACCTACCCCAGCACACCGTCTCCTGCCGGGGTCAATACCTTGGGGAAAAGCATCAGGCAGAGAGATGTAACACCTTTGGTGCCCATACTCCCTGCTTTAGGCAGTCCAATGGCAAACTCTGCCTGCATCCTCATATTTCATAGTCCTTGATGTTCTTTTCTTCCACAGGCTTGTCTAATCATTTTGAGCCCATTTAGTTCTGGCACCTGCTATCTCCTCTAGCTATGAACGTCACAGTTTAATTACATGCTACATGAAAGAGTAATTCCTTCTGGTTTAAACTTGCTACCTGATTATTTTGTTTACTACCCCTCAGTTCTTGTGTTTTTAGAGACAGAGATTCATTCCCTGTTCACCACTTCCCTGACACTTAGGATTTTATAAGCCTCTGTCATATCACCCCTTCCCATGATAATTTTCAAATCTTAAGAGCTTTGGTCTTATCTCTGTACAGAAGATGTTCCACCTCTGTATAGATGATGTTCCAGGACCATCCTGATCACCCTTCACGGGCTTTTTTCAGTTCTACAGAGCTGTTTCTAAGACAGGCTGAGCCGAGTTGCACAAAATATTTGATACTCTTTGCCTGTATCTAAGAGCTCTTACAGATCCAATTAACCGTATAATGGCATTTTCTGTTTTCTTCTCTATTTCATTTCCAGTAATTCCCCAAATCTTGTTAGCTTTGTTGACTGTCACTAAGTAATGGGCTGGCATTTTCGAGAGAACTATCCAGAACAAAGCCTGAGTGAGAACAGCTAATTTAGAGCCTGTCACTATGTACGTATTTTTAGTGTTGTTTCTCCCCCTCGTGCATTACCCTGCAGTCAGCAACATTAATTTTTATCTGCCATTTTATCATGCCGTCACTTGCTATCATGGCATCTTCCCACCAGTCTTCACAGTTAGTTCTAACAATGACTATTCTGAATAACTAGATGTCATCACCAATCTTCTCTTATTGTACTCTACCCTTTTTCTGGTCATTTAGGAATATATTGAACAACCCAGACCACATTATGGATTCCTGTTTAACTGCACTAGTCACTTTTCTCCATTGTGAAAGCTGTATTCCTACTTTCCTGATTAGTTATTAATCCACAAGAGGCCATCCAACCAAAGAGACTTAGGAGCTTCTTTACGAGCTACTGTTAATGGATCTAATAAAAAGTTGTTTGGCAATCGAAACACAATGTAGTAACAGGATCACCTTATCTACATGTTTGTTGACTCCTCTGGAAAACAAATAGATCTGCAAGGCATGAATTGCCTCTGCAAAAGGTGTATCATCTCTCCCTCCTCATATTCAGCCATCCAACCATGGTGAAGTCTTTAGTGCATCAATGTGCAGAGAAAGCAGTCAATAAGATCACCAAACTCTATGGAGAGCTGTCTACAAAGAGGACAGCAGAATCAAACAGGCACAGAGACAAACGCAGCTCACCAGTGGTTTGTCTGACAACGTGCCCAGCTGGTACACAAGCAGTAACTGCAAACCAGCTGACTCATGGGTACCTCCGTGCTACATGGGTCCCTGGTAGCACCCTGTGCATGAACTGCTCCAGTGCAAGGAGCAGCGCTGAGGATAAAGGCAGGGACCTTCTACTGCAAAAGGGAGAGAAGGGGCTCAGGCTAATGTGAGTGAGCAACAGGGGATCTGAGTTGTGCCTTCTGACTTGGTGACAATGCCGGTAGGAGGCTCAGGAGGAGTGGGAATGGGCAGTGTAGTATGTTTAGACACAGCATGGGAGTAATGCCAGCTACCAGCACCACACCACATCAAAGCACCAGGCTCTCTGACCCACACCCCCCTGCATGGTACTGATGTGTCCTGCACCCATAAATGCCCAGCTCTCCTGTGCTTGCTACTTTCAGAGGTCTGCCTTACAGAAAAGAACGCAACCAGCAATTTCATGGGTATCCTCCCACTGCTGGCACAGGTCAGAAGAGAAGCCCAGACATGAAGCCTGCAGCACAAGGTCTGCAGATCAGCAGTGAGCAAAAGGCACCATCTGACAGCCTCATGTCCACTGCTGCAGAGAGTGAGAGGTTACATGGACATGCCAGCTCTGCTAAGAGTCCACAAGGGGAAAACACCAGCCAGCCCTTGCTGCTCCTCAGGGCCCACACTCACAAGATGCCAGCACATAGACTGCTCTACCTTGTGTCTTCAGTTCAGGGACCCCTCTTCTCCCACCCCTGCCAGGTTCATGCCAGCAGAGACATGTCAACTACAGTGGGGCCAGAAAAATCCCTGCTGTCGTTTACAGACCTATTGTGCCCTCCTTGCACTCTTCAGAACCAATGTTCAGCAAAGAATCTGGCCTCAGCCACACTGGAAGACGACTTACTGAAAAAAGGTGATGATAATCAAATAGGCTACAAACAGGAAACCTGCCGCTAGAGTCTCCAGACGGAGCCTGGGACCACACTTGAGTCACCACCTCCCTGGGAGGGCACAGCAGCGCCAGGCTTTTGTCACAACACAGCCCTGAGTGACAAGTCAGAAACTGATGCTGTGGAGGGAGCGGACAAGGGCAGACACCCTCCCAGTGCTGCTCGCCAGCTCTCCCCATGGCTGGCACTTGCCCTGCTAAGCTGGAGAGAGCAATTTGTTCTAGCTGAAGCTAACTGACTCAGTCTGTGTCACTGCAAACACACATTTTCTGGCTCTGCTATTGCTTTCAAAGACGCTCTCCAAAAAGAGATAAATAGAAGAAAAAAGGAAGCCACTATTTTCATAATGTCCTTTTTAAGGAATGCCTGCTCCTGGCATCTGTGATACTGCCAGATAAATCTGTGCTGAGCAGGGCCACCACCAACTGCAAACCCTGTCACATGCAAGTAGAGGGAACCTCGCTCATTCGACTGACAGCCCTGAGTCGACAGGCTTCTCCCCAGCTGAGCAGGAGGCTGACGCACATGCTCTGCAAAGCTGCTGTCAGTGCTGGTGGTACTCACAGTACTCGATGCCCAAGACGATGTCTCGGAAGTAGAGCTGAGCCTGCTCCTCGCTGAAGGGCTGGTCACTCGGTACCTCCATGACAGGCCTGTTAGGAAGAGGGAGAGTAATTAAGTACTTTGCAGAACGGCAGTATCCCTCCTTGCTGGAGGAGTTTCAGGTTCTCCATCACTATGTCGCCAGCATTGAGGGCCAGGCTCCCAAGAGGTTCTGGGTGCTGTGACACAGGACAGAGGCGCAGCCATCCTTTCTGGATGCAGCAACGCCTAAGTTAGTGAGCTCGGCTAGCGGGGATGGGTGGCTTCACACAGTCCCTGAGCCAGCATGAGCCACAGAGCTCTCGCCAACATCAGGATTAACTGCTGCTGTCTGCACAAAATAGGACAAACACTTCATTCACTGAGAGTCCTAATGGGAAAAGTGTAGTGAAAGAACAAAACTGGATCTTGGCTTTTGGTTTCTTGCTAAAGCTGCTCATGGCTGTGAGCACCAGCATCACCAGCAGGTACCAGGCAGCAGTGGGGATAGAGTGCCCTTTGCTGTGCACTGGATGTCGTGCCTGCTGGGGCTCAGTCCTGAAGCAACATCAGCGTGCAGCTAGTCTAAACCAAGGCAGAATCTAGACACGAACCACTGGCTCAAAAGTTAAGTGGGAATCTTTCCAGTGCATTGCGCTAAACTGCTTTGAAAACTTATTTTGCTGTTCAGGGTTCAGCCACCACCAGAACTCAGCCATTCAGCCCTAAACAGCCAAGGTTACCTGGTCAGCTTCTCCTCTCCTTTCCTTTGTATGCCACCACTGCTGAGAGATGCACAGTATCATCTAAAAGCCCCTCTTCTAGCTGTGCCTGCTGAAAGCTGAGGGCAAAGAGGCTGTAAGAGCTAGTCAGCATCTTCTGTTCCCCAGCAGATGAAAGGCAGGAGCTAAGTACTTCACTGCACTGGAGGTTAATCCTGGTTGTGCTCGACAGCTTGACCTTGCATTTGGACATACGCCCACTGACTCAGGCTGGATTTAAGCGAGTGCTCCTGAAACACCGTCCTTGCAAGCCAAACCCTGGCCGAGAATAGCCCATCGCCAAAACCAGGCTCTGTGGCTCTTCCCCTCAGCACCCATCAGCAAATCCTTCCTGCAGTATTTCTCTTTTCTCCCTTGCTGCCATTTGATCAGTGACCTTCATCTCCCATTTGCATTTTTTCTGCCACTGCCTTCCCTCCCTCTTCATGCACATTTTTCTGCTGCTGAAACCAGGGAGAAATAATGTGAGCGACAGGACTGGCAGAGCCACTAATGGAGTCTAATTGCCTTCTGCTAGAGGCAGACAGGCTGCGCTCGGCCGAGCTGCACATTCCCTGGCCCCAGCTGATTACAGGAGCTTTTTTTTTTTCCTCCCGCTCTCCTACAGGATAGTCATCAGCCTGGTCACCAGGGAGACTGGGGAGCCTCTCACCAGCAACCCACTGGAGCTGGCAGCCTGCAAGAGGCTTGTTCATGGGGCCAGAGAGAAAAATAAGCCCTTCGGGAATCTCCCCCATCCTGGGCACAGCTCTCCCAAACTCGCTGCGACTCTGCAGAGCTGCAGAATCAGCACAGGTGTAGCAAAAAGCAGTGAGGAGGCTCCCACCACCTTATCACTTCTCCTGCTATGGAAAAACATGCCAACAAAACATCATCCCACAGTATATTAGTGCTAGGGGCAAAATAAGGCAGCAGGTGTTTGATGCAACCACACGCCCCTTGTGCCAGAGGAAGCCACGATGTGGCTGTTACCCCAGCAGAGCATTCCTATTAAAACCTTTTCTTCCAGGCACCTGATGGGGAACTGGCATCAAATTTGTTTTCCAGATCAAAGCCTGACACCAGGACATGTCCTCCCAGCCCATTACTATTCACCACATCATTCCAGGCTGTAACAGTGCAAAGGCAACTACAGCTGGATTTTGCCTCCTCTGCGCTTGCCTGCAGACAGCAGTTTGCCCCACTGTATGTATCAAACCTCCATTTACACCTAGGAAGCTAATGATGAACACCAAAAATTTCAACACACGGGATCCCAGGAGGGCTACTTACCCTTTCCTCAGGAGGTCAAACACTGCAAGAAAAGGAAATCAAACCATGAACGAATCAGAAAAGGGGACTGGGCTTATTCATTTTTTAGCACCTACAAAAACACATCCATTCCGATACCTGCAAAATCAATTTATCGCCACTCACTTCTCTTCCCTCACCCATGACAAGGACACCAGAGGATGCAAAATGAAAATATTCATCCTTTCAGCAAAGACAAATATCCTCACGTCCCACCAGCTCCACACAGGGAGACAGCAGGTGCTAATTTATCAACCACATTTCTGCTGCTCCCAGTGTCAGCCCTTGCTGATTTGAGCCCTGTCTTATTCAGTACCTTCAGGGAGGGTGTTTGGTGTGATATTTCTGCTAAATTGCTGATGCTGAACGAGATGCTCTAAGAACATGTTGCTCCATTTCTGCTGTGTCAATCAACAGCACAGCTACATGGCTGTCAGAGGTAAACGCTTCCTGGCAGGAGCAATTGGAGAGGATTTGTTGGTGTGAGTTGAGGTTTGTAGAGCACATGAGGTTTTGTGTCTGATTAGGGGGTTGGTGGCAATGTGTTTTTCTGATCCTGTCTCTGACCTTTTCTGCAAACAGGAGAAGGATCTGCCTTTATCTAGCAGGAGAGCTCTTTCCTCATGAATTACTGAGGGATTTCTTGCACCTCCCAGGAAATCCGAGCAGATCGCCGTCCCCAAAGCACCAGGCAGCCCTGCTTACAGTGTGAGGTTAGACCAGCCGAAGGTACAAATGCAACAAGCCAGCCTGCATTGGCTCATCTTGCTCTCCAGGCTGAAGAAGCTGCAGCTTGTGGCAGCATTTCATTATTCAACCATCGAATACTGTGTTCAGTTTTGGGCCCCTCACTACAAGAAGGACGTCGAGGTGCTGGAGCGTGTCCAGAGAAGGGCAACGAGGCTGGTGAGGGGTCTGGAGAACAAGTCTGATGAGGAGCGGCTGAGGGAACTGGGGTTGTTTAGCCTGGAGAAAAGGAGGCTGAGGGGAGACCTCATCGCTCTCTACAACTACCTGACAGGAGGTTGTAGCGAGGTGGGGGTCGGTCTCTTCTCCCAAGTAACAAGCAATAGGACGAGAGGAAACAGCCTCAAGTTGCACCAGGGGAGGTTTAGATTGGATGTAAGGAAAAATTTCTTTACTGAAAGAGTGGTGAAACATTGGAACAGGCTGCCCAGGGAAGTTGTTGAGTCACCATCCCTGGAGGTATTTAAAAGACGAGTAGATGAGGCACTTAGGGACATGGCTTAGTGGACATGGTGGTGTTGGGTTGACAGTTGGACTCGATGATCTTAGAATCATTGAGGTTGGAAAAGACCTCTATGATTCTATGATCTTGTGCCATTGAAGGTTGCTCAATTCCTATCGGCACCCTCCATCCCCTGCTTTCTTCCCAATGAGCACGCAGCAGAGTGCTCACAGCAGTACTTAATGCCAGCAGTAAATAGCAAAGAGCAAGCTCCACTTGCCCTAGTTTTGCTTTGTAGCAGGGGCCATTTTTGGAAGGAGAAAGGTGCAGTTATCATTGGCTGTGTCAGCAGCAGGAGGGAGGAAACCCACTTGCAGAAGGCTCAATCCTGAGCAGCACTGAGCATCCACAGCTTCCCCTTGCTGCCGAGGGAACTGCAGAAGCAGGAGCTTGATTTGCCTGCATCGCTCTGCCTGAACCATTCACAGGATCCCAGGCAGAGCAAAGGAGGGCAAAGAGCTGATGGGGCATGGACAACATGGACACAGCCACTGCTCGCTGCCCAGGGACCAGTGCAACCTCCCCGGGACCCCCAATGGGACAAAGATTTCCCACTTGTCCTGCTGCTATTGCTGCCATTTCTGGGACTGTTACCTCACTCCACCCGGAGAGCTTGGTTTGTTTTTCTTTTCTGCAGCTTTTCGACTTCCTCATGCATTTATTTTCATTCAACAAAAACACTTGCTACCTCATCTCTCCCCTTCTCTCCATCCCTAGGAGTTCAGGCCTTTAAACAATGGTCTCAGCCGCCCTCCCCACCACACGTGCATCTGCCTTGGCTGCTACTTTGCAATGCTGCCAGAGTGCCACTGGGGCTTCAGCCGAAAGGGAAAAGTGGCCTTTCAAAGGCAAATAGCTTCATTTGCTAGGCAGAGCCCCCTTTCACAGGCAGCTTCAAAAGCATCCCATAATTATTTCATGAGAAGCAGCCTTTGAGCCTGTCTCATCAGGAAACGTTACAGGGAAGCAGAGATGTGATAGGGTCAGACATCCCCCTTCTCTGGCCCATCTCAGATGGCACCTCAGTGCCTCCCAGGCCTGTCCCTCCAGGTTTTGCCCAAATGGGGGTTAGGCTGTGGCTGGCACTTCCAAGGTTTGGGGGAGAGAAAGATAAAATGGTTGGAAATTCCTCACCCCCTGCATAAACACACGGTCAGCTATGGTCTCCCATCTGAGCACCCCACGGCAGGGTCTGGGCTCAGAGGCCAAAGGCAGGAGTGCTGCTGTCTTAGGAGGTCCCGAGGCTCAGCAGGGTGGTCAGCGTCTCTGCAGGGGTCACAGGGAACACCCTGAGACAAGACTGCTTTCCGGAGTCACTACCTCTTATCCACAGCCTACAGGAGGAGTCTGGAGAGACCAGCCTCATACCAGGAGGATGAGAAGTCATCCTGCACCCTTCCCTTCTCTCCTGGCTCTAGGACTGGAACCGACATATACATAGCGGAGGGCAGAGCCACTGTCACGTTTTAGTGTCCCCATGGCAAGGAGATGTGCACAGCTATACTAAGACACAAGGCTGCCTTACCCTACTGCAAGGGGCCCTACCATCCCGCTGCCTTTACAGGTGTTTAACTTTTCAGAAAAAAATAAGTCTGCTGAAGTCAGTACAAGTTTCCTCCTAGTATTGACCCCGAGCTCTGGTACATATTACCTGCATCACTAGGTCTAAGCCCAGACAGTTCTGTTAGCATATAATGACTCACATACCCATGTACAAGTTGTCCTCTGCAGGATCATCAAGGACCTGTAATTGATAACAGAGAGATAAGGGGAAAGGGGAAAGAAAAACAGCAGGGAAAAAAAAGATTTTTAAGGAAATAACATTTTACTGCTCCTTGTACAGTGTGCTGAGCTGCAGAGCACTGAGAACGACTTAGGCTAATATTTAGAGATTTCTGCAGAGAGAGGGGCTTTGAGAGACACAGATTTTCCTGTCTCCAGAAAAATCTGGGCTTCTGCCTGTATTTGGAGAAACAGCCTACCAATAAAGGCACTGCTTGTCCTAATCTGACCCCAGCCATATTGAAAATGGCACTGAAGCCTTGCACTTGTGCACCTTCCCAGGCTTGTCCACACACAAGTTTCACTGGTCAAAGCTTGCTGCTATTTCTACTAGCATGGCCAGCTGCCTTCTCTTAGGCACCAGCCCAAAGCCCAGGATAAGTATTTCAGTTTGTCATACACAACTGGCATGATCTTGCTTGGAATTACCAGCCTAAATTTCTGAACAGCTATTTTAAATCAATTTTGGCTAAAGTAGGAGCAGTTGAAGAAAGATCCTCTTGTTGCAATACAAACCAGGCTTGTTTCAGTGTAGCTGAGGGTGGAGAAGCAGCTCACCTCTATCAGCTTAACGATGTTGACATGGTCCAGTTTCTTTAAGATGGCTATTTCCTGATAGACTCTGTCCAGTGGTGCCATGGGTTTTGGCTGCTCTCCAGAGGATGCTTTCGACCCTCTGGGAGGAGGCCGACCTGCAATCACAACAACATGGTGAAGAACTACTCATTTTTCAGCAGCACCTGGCACGCAGCCACTGGCCCCTCTGCAGATACCTCCAGCTATTCTGGAAGATCTCATCACCTTGTTATCATCCCAAAGCATTACAGTCTCCACCCAGAACAGATCTCCAAGCCTCATTCAGATCTACTGGCTTCCCAGCCTGGTCTGTTTGCCAGGTCCCATGGCCCAGCCACTGGAGCCAGGTGCTGTCTGAGGGGGTAGGAGAGCCCCTGGGAGGAGGGGGTCTACCCTGCCTAACTTCCAGCACTTAATTAGGCTTCATAGATGGTGAACGTGGCAGAGTCAGCACTTCAAAGAGATTCAGAAAATCAAAGCCAGGAACCTAATTACTGGGTGTGTTGAATTTCCCTGTGGTTGTGCCTGCCCTTACACCACCCACTGCATTTTAATCAGCCCCCCAGCTACTTGGGCAGCTTTCAAATGAGGCCAGCTTCTGCAGTCCTTGCAGACATTTCTACAGAGAGATTTGCCTGGCTGAGGACAACAGGTGGACCTCTAAATGTGAGATACCCACGTGGAAATCCATACTGCTTCAAGAGCTTCTTTTTGGAGAGGACTTTCATAGCCTGAAGGAAGAAAAAGCAGTGTTAAAACTGAACAAGAGCCAAAGCGCTCATTGCTGTGACCCAGGAGTATGCTGGGCATCGGGGACTGGCTCAGGTCTGTCCTCAACCTAGAGGAGTAGTCTTCTGGTTAGTGGTGGCCACGAGACACACAAACACACTGACACAAGCTTTCCTAAAGGCACTACTAACCATTTGTTTCATTCATCTTTTTCCCACGAAAAAATAAACTGGTTTGATTTTTTTAAAATTGGACAGAGAAAAAGGAGCCCAATTTCTGCATTTGGGGCAGGAGCTTGAAGGACCTAGCTGACCTTTAAGTACCTGCTATTTTGGGTGATGCTACGGCCATGCCGCAAAGTCAGAGCCACTGCAAGGCTGCTCCACCTTATGTTTTGCTTTGCCAGAGGGTCTAGGAAGGAAAAGAGCTGGAGTGTCATGGCCGCACCGCTAACCATCACAGACCTGGAATAGAGTGAGGACACAGCCCTTCCACCAGCTCTGCACTGCCTGGGGAGGCCTTTTGTATTCTCAAAGACTACTTTTGCCCCATAAACCTCTTCCATGCTGTCAGAGCAATACGGAGCACCTGCAGTGTGATCCAGCACCATGCCCAAGACCACGAACAAGATACTTCATGGGCATTTGTTCCCTGCACCATCAGAAATGGCGAAGCCAGCTCTGTGCAGGAGCATGGCAAAGGCACAGGGAGGGAAGCGGGTTTTTGCCAGTGGCTTCCCTCCCTTCTCGTACCCAATCGTATGCTGACACCGTTGCGAATCCAGGCAGCTGAGGCGTGGGAGAGGGTCAGGGTAATTTTTTCTGCCATTCAATTGGCATTAGCATAGTGGCAAAAGGCAATCTGAATTTAATAAACAGTCTCTGAGCCTCCATCTGCTCTGTGCGTTAATAACCTTTTTGAGGGCCACTCAAACAGCCCCGAGTGGCCCAGCAGATAAATATTTCATGAGAAACCAGCTCATGGTACAATTTGCTTAGGAAAACAGTCTATGCTCCCAGGGGCTGGGGTGGTCACTTGCTCCTTCCCCTAGAATAGGTAGTTACTCCTATTAGTTAAGCATCCAAATCTGTAATTCACACTGGAGTGACCCTTGCGAAATTTAATTAACCAAGGACTCCTGCAGGACACAGTCAAATGCCAAGGAATTTCGCATTAATACCACAGAGGCAGGCTCTCTGCACACTACCTTTTTTAACACATACACCAGGAACAGGTCACCAAAACCATTTCGGTGAGCTCCTCCCAGAGCTGTTTTTACTGGCAGCAATGCCACCGCGCGCCCCAGGATCCCCACCTCCCATCAGTGCTCCCGCTGCAGCCAGGTTCACAGCTTGCTGAAAGGATTGTTATTTTTGGTACTGATCCAGTGAAATCCTCTGGATTTGCACCCATGTAATTGAGAAGAGACACTGTGTAGTTCTCAATCCTGCCTGACAGCTCCCAAGCCAACTGTTGGAAACAATGGTGTTGAGAGACAGACTCAGAAGTGCTTATCTTTTACTTAGCACAGTGCTGTGTCCAATACAGACAGCCAAATGATTCATGGTCTGCTGAAAGAGGATCCAAGATGTGCGCAACCACCTCCAAGGATGGCCACGACCAAGCCTGGAGGACTTCCTACGCTCCCCGCTTTTATCTCTCCATAATGAAAATTTATGGGAAAAATCAAAGGAATTGGTACACCTATTTCTCTTTCAACCATCGCCAGCCCAGGAGAAGGCTCTCCTTCCTCCAATCCCACCTTGAGTCCTCCCTGCCTTCTGGAGGGAGCTTCTAAAGGAGCTTTAGAAAAAGAAGAAGTAGAAGATGCAATTTGGTGTATCCCACCTTGAGTCCTCCCTGCCTTCTGGCAAGGAGCTTTAGAAAAAGAAGTAAAAGATGCAATTTGGTGCTGAAAGGTCCCAAGCTGCATCAATGCTTGGGGGAACCCAGCCTAAGGAACTGAACCATCGCCACCAGCTGTGCCCGCATCAGGTTAGTCCTTCCCAGGGCAGGTTCTGGGGAAAGGCTAGAGGGAGCCCAAAGGTACAGGGAGGAGCAAAGACAAGAATTGCTCTTGGGGACAGAAGTGGAGGGAACAAGAGCTACTGCTGTCACCCAAACTCCTTGAAGGATGCTATGAGGGGCAATGGGGAGATGAGTGGGGGTTACTGTATTGTAGGTGAGCTAATTATAAGCCACCTCTACTGCTGTGGAAGAACCACCAGGACATGCTTATACCAACTTCAAAGCACCAGTATCTGCTGCTACACAAGTAGGGCTGGATCAGAAGAGAGGACCTGTCCCACTGCGCTTTCAAACGCAAAACGGGGGACGAAGAGTAAACTTCACCATGCCAGAGCCACTTAATTATCACAAGAGCAGAGACGAGAGCACATGGCCGTGAAGCCTCACTTTAATTACAGCACAAGCTGGCAGGACAAGGCTTCCTCACTGAATTGTAGCTGCGCATAATGGGAGCAACACAGGGATGCTTCAGCAAACCTCTCCTTCCGGGCTCACATGCATGAAAGAGCCAAAGACATTTGTACTCACAGGCAGAGCTAATTACCCAGATAATGCCTTTCCGATAAAGAACCAGCTCAGAGCCAGCTGAGGGATTTTCCCTTTGCACTGGCAAGCATTGCTTCAGCTTCCTCAGGAAAAGAGGGAGCCTGGAGGAGATTTCCTCCACACATGCCCTTGCACCCACCTTCCTTCCGACTATTCACACATGGACATTGATATTTTACCCCATCACACATGGGTCTTGATATTTTCCTTTGAAATGCAGCAGGAACTGTGTGCTTTTCTTCGATGTATGTTTATTATCTAAGTTTACTGCTCTCCTCCTAGCAACCTTGCAGCTGGAAACCACAGGGAAGCCACCCGAGGGAAAGGAGATCCCAGGTTTATGGAGAGGAGGGATGCCTGGGACAGCAGCTTTCACAACAGCAAGACTTCAAGCCCACATCCTGCTGCTGGTAATGACAACAGCAAAATGGCCATTAGTTGTGGGTGATAAAACAGATCGAGCCAAGGGAACTTATCACCTGTCCTTTGTGATGCTCTCAGCACTTAGGATGTCATTTTATTTGCTAACAGAGACACTTGCGTTGCAAGGGCAGAAGACCTGTGCACAGTCCCTACCTGCAGCTCCCAGGGGAGTGGGGTGTTGGTCAAAGGTCATTACTAACCACCTAAATCCTTTGCCAGTGTGTGACAGCACCCTGCGGGAATGCTGAGCAGACCAGAGAGCATTTCCAGCCCTTCCTCACCTGTCCTGTCTGACAATGACATCCCTCAGATAAAGTGGCTAAGAGGGAAGCTCTGCCAGGAGAGAGGAATGCTACACACTGAAAAAAAACCCCAAACCAGACAGGCTTAGCTGCCATGCCCCTAAAATCCTGCTCCTGCATTTGTCACCTTTTGTCCCAGACACCATTTGTCACATCGGCAGCAGAATTACATCAGCAGGCTGTGCCCCATCCACGCTGTGACACCACAGCCAGGATGCCTTCCCAGAGTGGCCACGCTCGCCTGCCTCCAGCCGTCGCCCAGAGGCTCCTGCTCTTACCCCGGGTGACCCAGCTCCCCGCAACTCCGCTGCTGAACAGCACGGGGTGTTAAAGTAAACCAGAGATCATTTCCCTGGTCCTCACTGCACCGGAGCGCAGCTGGCAGTGGTTCAGGTTCAGTAGCTGTTATGTGAGCAAGAGGATGAGAAACACGGGAGCCATGCCCTCCCTTCCCGCCTGGATGGCAACCAAAGTGGATTCTCCAGGGGCTAAAGAGTTCAAGGCTTGCTGCTGGCCACCTTCTCCTCAGCAGCAGCACTTTGTCAGCTGTCTCTTTTCATAAACTTGGAACGAATTTCTCCCCATCATTGAGAGTTGGTAGAAAACAGCCCCTCATGAAAAGGTTCTTAGGTACAAACAGAGGCAGAGAGCACAATCACACAAACCTTGTTTCTTAGGAAACCAGATTAAAAAAAGAAAAAAAAAAGAAGAGAAACCCACTGACAACCTACAATGCTATTGCTTTTGTCCAGAAGTAGCATAACAAATGTCCATCATAACCACTTTTCTTTGCAAGCTGAGTTAGAGATTGAAAATAGGAAGGAGACATGACCCAAGGCATCACAGAATCAAATTCCATCAGCACAATGACTCCAAACTAGATCTCTGCCTGAACACATTTGCCTTTGCTTTTTATTTGCTGCTTTTTCACAGAGCTTGGCTTTTCTTTTTTTCCCCCTAGTCACTGTCAAAGCATCTCCTGCAAACTGAGATACCGAAACCTTTCCAGCTGTAAAGGGCTCCTTGGCAGAGCCCCGTGAATGCTGCTGTAACAGCTTCACATGCCCCAGCAGCAGCAGGGACTGAGTGCAGGGCAGGGACCTCTGCTCTGGGAGCCAGCTTCGCATCCTGATGGGGTCTCCTCCTTGGAGGGAGCACTGGGTCACATACTTGGTGCTGGAAAGTTCAGTTTCCTCAGTCAAATACATTCCCTGCATCCGCTGATGTAAGTCAGCACACTTCCACAGCCCTCCACGGCACTGCGGTTGTTCATAGCAATGAAGGATAAAGCTCTTGGAAGCACTCTCTCGTCTTTAATGGAAGGTAAAAAACCTCACAAAGTAAATACAACCCATCTACATTTTTCCCAAATGCGGTGATCAACTTTTTTTCTTGAGAGTTTTTCCTAATTCTAGGCCAGATCTAAAACTCATTAAAGCAACAGAAATCTTCCCTTTTAGTTTGACAGGAGCTAGATTCAGTTCCTGGTACCTACAAACTCTGCCTTTTTGAAAAGAGCTAGCAAAGGGCCCCATGCCTCAGCAAGAATCAGGAGCCACACTCTGAATTATACTCCAAAATAAAAAATTCCTGCTTTCTTTAAAGTTTTGATCCTTTTTATTGCAGCACACTAGCTTAAAGAAAATAAAGCAGGCAGGAACACCTTGGCCTCATGCTAAAACACTGCACACATGTATCGGTTATTAGAGGCTGCTCACTAAAGGCCAACCAAGGGCTGATTTCCTCCAATTATCTGTTATTGCTTTTCACCACTGAGACAAAAACAACCCTCCAGAGCTAAATTTGGGGAAAAATAACCACACAGAAAAGGCCCTCCCCAACTATCAGGGTCACAATTGCTTCTACTAACTGCTGGTAACAGGCAGTTGCATTAGGTATCCCCCCCGGGGGGGTGCATTGCTGCAACGCAGCCTCAGACAGGAACAATAAGCAGAGCAGCATGGAAGTTATCTCGGCACTGGGAGAGCACGTGGGTCAGACACACCGGGAGGCACAGGGAGCTAAGCAACCATTAAACAGTTACGCAACTGGCTACTATTTCTCTGAAGCTTTAAGAAGTCTGCCAGCTCCCGAGCTGTTTTAACATCTTGGAAAAGTGGAGGTCTCTCCATCACAGCTTGCCCTCCTGGAAAACACAAGCATGGGCACCTGGAAGGATTAGGGGTGACAGCCTGTCTACATGTGACTGCAGCTGGGGAAGGGGGAAAGCTCCCACTGCCCCAGCCAAAAGGGGGCATGAAGCACATGAAACAGACTTTAGCATCACAGCGTTTCGGCAGCAGTTCCTCTCCCATACGCTGACATTCACTGCAATAAAATGCAGGCGGACACTGCTGATACGCTTGCTCCGGTCCCATCTCTCCATCCGCTGTAGCACTCCACACACCTCCCAGGATCAGCTTCGCAGCCCCAGGGTCCTTGCTGAGATCCGATTCAGACCCTCCCTCAACCCCCACAACAGGAGGATCAGGGTGAACCAAAGAGCATGTCCCTGCAACACTGGTGGTATGGGGGTTCACACACCCCGTCCCTTTTTGGGTAGCGAGGATGAAACAGAAGTGCCCAGGCATGAGAGCGACTCTTGAGCTGCAGTAGCTTTAAAGTGTTTGCTTATATTAGAAAAAGAAATGGAGATTAAGTGGGGATTAACTAACACACACCAGGCTAACCTGGACACAGGCTTTCACTTTTGGCTTTGATTTGACCAGCTAAATCTACGTCCACAGCGTCAACCTACATCCAAAACATGGACGAGAACGCAGTAGGCAATGCTAACCTAAACCCACCTCTCCTCTGCCAAGCTGTGACAACTGTCCTGCCCACCCTGGGCAGCCCACAGCACAGCGTCGGGATTCCCAGCACAAAACAGCAGCGCCAAGACAAAGATTACAATTTTCAAAGAAAAATATTTTCAGCTGGAAATAAATGCAATGTGATGTATTCCCCACTCTGCGCTGCTGGTCCTGGCACTGCCTACGCTGGCAGGACAGACAAACGAAGGAAGGCACATCGCTCTTTGCGGAACAAAACCGTCCTGCTGCAGGGCACGGGAGGGAGGACTTGGAGGGCAGCAGAGAAAGGGAGCCATCGGAAACAGCAACCGCTCTGGCGCGGCGGGTGAGTCAGCTTGGAAAGCACAGGGGATGGAAAGAATTGTGGTTCCTTTGCTTGGCCAGCTCCAGGGCACCTTGTCCAGATTTTTGTCTCATCTCTTCCATCCTTCATTTCAAGACACTTTACCTGCAATTTCATGCCTGCTGGAAGCATAGAAGGGCTAACAAATACTAATAGGCATACAACTCCCACCCAGTCCCTCCAACCTGGTATGTCACTTGTAAATCCAAGAGTCAGGGAGGAAAAGCTAGCTGGGGAGTAGCAAGGGAATGAGCACGCTTTACACCTCCACGGCATATTCTTATTCCCCTTTGTGCCAAGGCCAACAGCTCTGTGCACTGGGACAGGGAGCAGCACACGAGTCTGTCTGGATGCTCTGATGGGCCCGTTTTCACCTGCGTGAGGCCACTCCATCACAGCAGCAAAAGCAGGTCCCCTCTCACGAAACAGTACAAAGCAGCAGCTGAAGCGCAGGGCCAGACCGGCAGGGCTGCGTCAAGGGCGGCTGGGTTTGGGCTCAACAGCACTGCAACCATCCAGCTCTGCTCAGCACATACCCACCCTGGGATCCACCAGAAACTGCTCAAAGCTGTTTCCGTAAGCCTTCAGGCACAGCCACACACAGCAAGGCAGTTTTCCTTTTGCCAGTTGCCCAGCTCCTGCTCTCAACCTGAGCAAAACTTGCCACAGGGCAAGCCCACGGACATGAGCACATCTCCACAAGCAGATTTTGCAGGAATCCCAGTTGGTGGATTGGTTAGGATTCGCCTGCCTCTGAAAGGCGAGGGACAGACAAGGAGCCTTCAGCATAAGCAGCCTTTTTGAATCTGAAACCCTCCAACTCTGGCTTCAGCTCAGCAAAGGATTTAAAAGCCCAGACTCATCTTCTGCCCTGCATCCTACACCTCACGACCTGACAGCAAGGTCCCGTTCAGTGTACGGGGAGGCATCTCACAAGGGGGTAAGATGCAGGGGAGCCAGGCACTGCTCAGCTGGGCCATGCTGTTCAGCATCTTTCTGATCAACACCCCCATTTCCTTAAAAAACATGCCTGCTCATTCCAGGGTGATCTTCCAATGCACAGCAGGTGCTGAATACCACCACCCACATGCCTCTAATTTCAGGTGACCTGCTTCATAGCTAGAAAATGTCAAGACAAATCAGCAATACACTTCTGCAGCCTGCCTCCGAGATCCCCGCCTGTTATATAAGGCAGCCCACCCGTTTTCCTTCCCGCTTGGCACCGCACGCAAGCGGGCGCACAGGCAGCAGCACGTTGCTCCATGCCCAGCGGGAAGGTTCAATTCCTTGCATACCACCCAAATCAGAAATGCATATGCTAAAAGCAGCAAGGCAGGGGGGACCTAGCTCTCAGGGGTGCAAAAGGGAACGAGGAGCAGCGATGGCAGCGAGGAGCAGAGGAGAGACACACTTACATAATACTTGTCATCGTTCTCATTGTAGGCCAGTTTCACAACACCGTAGGAACCCTAAAAATAAACACAAATTGCAGTCAGTTCAGCAGCTTCACTTTGTCTCCTTGCTGCTCAAATCTGGTAGAGCACGGCTTTGCACAGGGGAAAAACCACAACCCTTCAAGGCCACAGGCCATGCCTAGCCTCGAGCAAAGTCCACAGGTGATGTGACCCCGCAAGCAAGGTTGTACATTTTGGCAGCTCTGTTGGAGCTACAGGGCATTTGAGGATTAACAATGTCTGGAGGAGTTGAGTGTTAGCTCATCACCTCCTGCCCTGAGCCAAAGCCACTGTGTCTGTCTTGTCTTAAACATGGGTGGGGAGAAGAGAGAATAATTTTTTCAAGCAGATTTTTTTGGTGCAAGTTTGGAAATTCTGCACGAACGTCTTTCCTATACTTCTGTGCAAGACCACTTTCAGCAGGAAACCTCTCCATCTCTCAACAGCAAATGGACTTCAGTGAGGACCAGCTGCCTGCTTTCCTCCAACCGCCTCTTGCCCAGGCAGATGCAGGCCTGGATCACTGCTGTATCCACAGCTCCAGTGACATGAAGCCAAACTCCATCCAAACCACTGTTTTTTTGCAGTTCTGTGTCAACACTATACATTTTATGCAAGTGAGACATGACACCTTGGCTAGGTATCATGCCTGACAGAAGCCTGTTGAATAAATGAGTGGGACGAACACGACAGCCTTCAAAACGTTTCTCTTGACTCCACTGAGAGCTGGAACAAAGGTCCAGGTCTCTGAGGAGACTAACAAGCCATCTGGCTGATCCAGAAGCACAGCAGGCCTAGCAGACCCTCCACCACCAACCTCAGGGTCCTGATGTGCTCGCTGTGACCCGCAGGGAAGGAGGAGGTAGGGGCAAATCCACCAGAGAGAAGGTCTCATACTCTCCTTAAATCATACTTAAGCCAAAGACAAAAGCCATAAGTGGGACTGAAGCTGTGTGTGTTTCGGATGACGATCTGCTGTACCACCAGCAGTGGTATCTCCAGCCTTACACCCTGATTGCCGGCAGCCAAGCACACAGCCCCCTGCACACAGGAAGGGTGCCTCCTCCCACTGCCCAGGACTTCTCGCTTTGGAGGGGAGTTTGGGCTAATGAAACTTTTGGTGAAGGTGTCTGCAGCTCAGGCTGCAGTCCCTTCTGAACTGCAATGTTCCAACTGCAAAGGTAGGTACAGCTTCCAGACAGCACCGTTGCTCGTGGACCGATCTGCAATGGTGGCAGACATCCAAATGTGCAGGTGTCTGAACCGCTCGCCAGCCCAGACCTCTAAATTGGAGGAATGTCTTCTGAATCATTCTGCAGCTTTTAAACATGGACTAGAATTAAACTAGCATTTCATTCATGGATGTAAAAACTTAAACTAGTCCTGATGGGGACCAAACACCTGCCCTGATCTTTTTTTGGGTTTCTTTCCTTGTCAGGTTGTATTAATGCATCAAAGGCTCTTAGTGTTACATTTGGCAAGTGAACACCTTGGAAGGGAGCCAGCTTAACGACCTTCAGAGGGAAGGAAAATAAATTTAGATTTCAGAGGAAGTAGCTCCACTTTGACCTTGAACAAAACTTGCTCGGACTAGTAAGGCAAAAAACCAAAAAACCCCTAAACAAACACAAGTTGCAAGGAGTCTTGGCCAGTAAGATCCCCTGGCGCTGGCACAGTCTTTCCACCCGTACTTGTGTGCGTGCAGGTTGCTTGTGACAAACACGAGCTCCAGTAACGTACCTTGCCTATTTCGCTCTGCAGCTTGTACTGGTTTAATTGCACACAGTCCTGCAGATCAAAAGGAGAACATCATTAGAGTATTGGTAAAAGGAAATGACTTAGTTTGAATCGGTATCAAGTAGAGGCAGAGCACTGAATAATGAAAGACTACATCTTACTCAAACTGGTATACGTTACACTATAAGCACTGCATATTTTTTTTTTGACAGCCCAGAACAAAGCAATTATGGGCTAAATTCTGACTCCGGTTGTGCTGGCATAACGCCAGAGGTCCCTCCACCCCAATTCCCCAGCACAGCTCCAGGTTCAGCCCGGTGAGCCTGACAGCAGCCCCTGGCCTCTTTACATGGACTGTCTGCATCGCACTGTGTTCAATACCAAGCAGAAAAACCTGTCCCCAGCTCCACAGGACTCTCATGGCGTGGCAGCTCCTAGCACCCATGCCAGTCCTAGGGTCACAGCATGAGCCCGTACCCTTCCCAACATCAGCCTGGCAAAGACAGGGACCCTCTGTGGGCCATGCATGAAGGCTGGGGCTGTGCCCAGAGGAACCCTCATCTGGACTGTGGGCTGCTCTTTGAGGAGAGCACACAGAGCCAAGATCCTTTGCAACGCAACACAAACAACATGGATTCCCTTCAGCCGGTACAGTATTTGCCAAAATAAATCATCCCTAAGCAGGCCTGATCTCCATTTGCAAGCTATCCAGCACTGAAACCCCAAGGGGTGGAAAGGTGGTGGATGCAGACCCTGGCAAGCTATGACAAGGGTGTAATGACCAGGAGCCACACAGGGAGTGACGGTGGCCCCAGGTGTCAACTGCGGGAAGCCAAGGTAGAACAGAGGAGCCATGCAGTCATCTGATGTCAAGTCCACCATTTCCTTTAGTATCACACTACCTAACAGAAAACATTTTCTTTCACAGCAGCAGCAAAACCTCCACAGCTGCATTTCACTCAGAGCTGACCCCTCCACCCTCATTAATTACAAGAAGAAAATTCCAGATGCCACAGAAGCCCAGGGGGCTCAAGACCATGAGCGCAGGGTGAGCACCGTGCACTGCCCACCCCAAGCTCTCCCTGCGGCTGCCCAGGAGCACGCAGGGGACCTGCCCAGCTGGGCCACTGCGACGGGGTCCGCAGGAAGACAGCACACACCTTGCTGCAACACACAGCTCCTGGCAAAGAGTCAGAGTGCTCTTGTGGGGATCTCTGCAGCACTGGCACCGGGGAGGGCAGGCTGCACTGGCTTTTGCCTTGGTCCCGACTTAACAGACAGCACTTAACTGCATTGCAGGGGAGGGGGCAGCCCCAGACACGGTGGGGTGAGGGAAGGGGAGAGTTTCCAACCACAGCACATGGTGTGGGCTGAGCCTTAGACAGGACATACTTCCCCAGACAGCATTTTAAAACAGTATTTCTCCCTGAGATTGCCAAGCGCTAAAGCAAGCTGGAAATTCACTTCAACCTCTGCACCAGGCACTACTCTGGGAACAAAGCTGATATAAAGCATGCAGGCAGGTAGATTAGCTTTTCCATAAACCTCAAAATAACCCTGCAATCTACAGAAGCAGTGCCAGGACAGCAAAGCAGTGCCAGATGCCTTCAGTCTGTTTGTAAGAAGGGGGGGTGTTATGGCCCCATCCCCATGCAGCATCCTCACTGAAAGGAACACTCCTCTGCCTCTCGGGATGCATTGGAGCACAAATGCAGTAGATGATAATTTTGACTTTTCCCTATCACCAACCAGAAAACACTCCTAACGCAAGCAGTCATCACAGTGAAGGAGAACAGAGGAATGGGGAACTGATGACTTTTTAAGCTTGCAAGCAGTGGCTTGTCAGGAATACAAGGAATGATTTAAATCTTGATCTTGTTTCCAGTGAAGGAAGATTTTTCCACCACCCTGACAGGGAGGAAGAGCCAACTGTGAGTAATAGGGCCATAGATGTGTATTAACTCTACTGCTAGCAAAGCACATGTCTTTCCAAAGGCAAAAACCAATCCATCAGAACTAGGAGCAACAAGAGAGGAGAGAGCATGACCCAGTAAAAGCCAAGATGCAAAGCGTAAGACCACGAAAACATATGGAAAAGAAAAATCCCATTGAATTTTGTAGAAAGGACTCCCCTCCGCAAAGGAGGGGGCAGCATGCAGGAACCCAGGGTACAGACACATGGAGGACAAATTCCCCTGAAAACCCCATGTCAGCAGATTCGCTTCCCAGCGCGAGGCTGTGCTTTGCATCACGGTGATTTTCACAAATTAAGCAGGAACAGTTTTCTGTTGATGTCTCCCGCCCTGGGTTTCCCCAAGCTCAGCTTCACACACCTTGTCCTGTGCAAAACTGCAGCGCTGCGGCGATGGGGAAACGCTCACGAGAGTGGCTGAGACAGGCAGGAAAAGCGACCACCCCTCTGAGAAAGCCTCCAACCACCTCAGTATCTCCTGCTCTTCCAACCAGCAAACTTGTAACACCCAGCTCCTGTTAACAGGCCTTCTCCCCTGAGCAGGGATTACTCGCACAAGTAAAGACAGGCTTTTACACGTGGCCATATACTCTCTGGTCTGCACTCGGTATCTTGTTTCAAGCCAAGGCGGCATCTCTAAAGCACAGAGTTTGCTGCTTGTCCTCACAAACACACTATCCAGGGAGCCATGGTGGTATTTTTTCCCTCCCACCTGAAGGAGCGGAGTCCTTTGTGCGGGACAATCTATCCAGCTGGGCAAACTCCCTTACGGAGCACTAATATTTAGTGCAGCCAAGGAGGGACTACACCTGCTCCCTGGGTCTGAGGCACCAATTCCTTTGACTCTGACCATCACCATCCCACCATCCCTCTTACCTCTGTCTAGAAATTACCACTTTTATCCTGCACCAGACCGATCACCTGAAGCATCTCTCTGGTCTTTCTCTGCTGTTAAATGGAGCTTGTGAGCAATGCCAGGACACCTGCCTTTGGATGATGGTTTTTCAAAAGGGATGGATAAATACCAGGATGGGAACACCCAGAGAAGGTCAAGGGAAGGGCAATGACAGAGTCTCGGCTCCCAGTCTGCAGCACAGCCTCAGAGTTTCTGCTCGCTATCACCACATCCCTACCCAATCCACACCTCCATCACGCTCTGCTCGGATAATTACCGTGAGAAGCACTATTGTCTTAGCTTCTGCAGTCCGAGCACTTGAGCTGAACACAGCAAAAATCAAACCAAAGTATAGGTGCCTTCTACCTTTTTTTTTTCCTTGCAGAAAGACCATAATTCACAGCTCAAGCAACTCCTGCCACGTGTCGCGGCAGACTGGCAGGGCTGTTTTGTCATTATTTGGTTCTCCTGCAGGAAGTGGGGTAATTGTACTATTCCTTTATCAGAGAAAAACACCTATCTTTGGGCCAAGTGTTTCTTAAAGATAACACTGTACAATCCTCTTGATTTCACCACACCAATCTATTTGCAACTGCTGATAAATGCGAACAGAACAAGAACCTTAATGAGATCCTTTAATGAAAAGCTGTCAGCAAATTAAGACTGCTGTGTCCATCCAAGTGTGCAGTAATTGTTCTGCCTTAAAAAACAAGATGCCCCATTTGTTAACGTGTCCAAGGTATCACTCAAGAGAGGGAGGGAGGGAATAAATGCCACAGAAAGCAAAAATTGATCAAAAATCATAAAACACAGATAAGTCTAGAGTCTAGGCCCAATTCCATAAATCCACTACTGCCACCGCTGTGTGACAGAAACCCCATGCAATTAAGAATTGAGCTTTTGCTGTCTGGGGGGACACCAGGATGAGAAGGAAGACCCAGAGCTGGTTTCCAAAGTAAGACTTTCCAAAAACAATCAGACTGCCTACATACATTCATATATAACGGAGAATTTTGCCTCCTAAAACAAGCAAAATTCACCAATATGAAAAGAATTATAAGTTTCAGAGCAATTCAGAGATACACTTTAAAGAGAAGCATGGGAAAGAAAACTGGGAACTAAGAGCCAGTAATGAAGACAACACTGGTTTAAACTCATCCCATCTGGAAGAGGAAGTGAAAGCAGTTCTAAAACCAGACAAAATGAAAATAAAAGTCAGAAAAGGGGTATAGGGGCAGCAATGAATACAAATTAGAAAGTTGTCCAGGGACAGAGAAGGACACACAGGAAGCCCAGAGCTCATGGAAGTAAGAAAAACAAACAGATTTTTAAACATCATCCAAAAACAAGTGCAAAACTGAAGCCTAGCACTGCAACTGGCTGCTGGCAGGAGCACTGACCATGGCTGGGCAGAAAGTACAACACCAAGGCTGAGCACTGCTGTCTGGGCTCACCCACCGAGACCCCGAAGCTGGATGCAGGAGCTTGGGCACCCACTGGGTTCTTGGGGTATCATTTGGAAAGTGGCTAGAAGAATAAAAGGGGGCTGGGACCAGTGGGACAAAGGCAGCCCCGTTCCAGCCCCTCTGCAACTGCAGCTTTGGGCTTTCTCCTCCTCTCAAACCTTGCCCTCAGACAAGTTGGAAATGTAACTTTAAATAAAGATTAATTAATCCAAGGAAAAGAAATTAGCAATGCCTATGGGGAATTCTTCTTTGAAGAAATGTTTTCCAAGTATCTTTGATCTTTTCAAGGGAGCTCTAGTTTGAGCACCACACTAAGACCTCTAGAAGAAATTAGTTTGAGGACTCGTGGGGCTGGAAGGGGAAGCTCTCCAGCCTGCACTGCATAGGAGCTCGGTCCCCATCACCACCCTGGTCCCACCTGGGTGTACCTTTGTGCACAGCAAGGAAATCATGACCTTGTGAAAAAAAAACAGGCAGCTCCCAGAGCCTGGAGGACCATGAAACCTGGATCAGCCCAGCACCAAAGTACTGCCTCTCACAGCTCTCGACACCAGTTGCTTCAAACTAGTTGGCCGAACAAGCAAGAGGCCTATGATAAAGATGTGGAAAGCCAAGGAAAGGACAAAGAAGCAATTTATTTTCTGTGCCTCTGGGATAAGCCATGGACATCGAGTGTAGGAAAATTCCCTTTGTCAGTTCATCCTCCTCCCTGCATGCT